TTTGCAAAGGGTGTATTTTATTAATAATTTCAAATTTATTTTGCATTTCAAAGAACCCCGATTTAAAATTTCATAAAAAAATTTTGTTTTCAAAATACATAAAARTGATTTTGCATTAATTCAAAATTTCTATTTTGTGTTTAATTATTATTTACCTTATCAAACCAAAACAAAGTCCATATTTGTTTGTGTACATAACATATCCGCTTTATTCGCTAACCTCTAGTATTTATGCTCAAGTCGAGTGCTAGATTACTTAGATAAACACCTAAAGTGATTAAATTCAACTCCCTAAGCAAGCAGAAACGAATAATCAATTTTAAAAATTTGGTAGACTTCGAAGCAGTATTGATGTGAAGATTATAGGATTATGCCTGCCAAGTATGACCCATGACAATTTGCAACAAAATTAAAAAAAAAATCAATTTATTTTGCATTTTTGTAGTGCTGGGGGGAAAATTTGTTTGTTTTAGACTAGCAAATCGCTGCCGCAATTTTTCGAATTTCAAATACTTGCCATAACAACAACAATTAGCAGCAAATGAACCTGTCAAATTGAGGCCTCACACACTGCATAGCATTCTCACACGCCTTTCCGATTTCTCACAATTACACATATACATTCTTACACACAAAGCAACTCATGCAGTTGATAGAGCACTCAAATGGCCACACCAGCAAACCGCAGACAGCATCACTTCAGCAAACAATAGCAAAAATGCCTGTCAATGTTGCAGTGCCATTAAACGCACACAGAGAAAAATTAGCTAATTTGCAATTGTCTAAGCACTACTGATAGTAAACAAAAATAATTGTTACCCATTTTATTAACCGGTCATAAGGAGGCAAGCAACCGAATTCACATAACAGTGCAACAAATGTGCGGCACAAGAGAAGGCACAAGAGTAGTGTCACAGTAAGCATTTTTATTTTCCATTAAAAAGGAAATCAAAACGAAAAAGGATGCGAAAGACCACCTTGATGCACGTTCTTGCAAAGCGCCGCAGGCAGTGCAACAAAACGTTTTCTAATTTGGCGAAATTTCCGAAAAATCTCAAAGCCCAACACGCTGAGCAAATGTACACAATGTACAGACAATGGAGAGAGTGAAGTGTCATTATGCATATGTATGTTTATAGGTATGCATGTAGGTGTATGTGTTTGCAGTGCGTTGGAGTACTTATACCTTTGTTTTTGAGCGCAATCCACAAATGTGGCGCTGCACAATTAATCATTTTTAGCTGCCAATGTGAAATGTGCAATGCACAAGTGACAAATATACGCACATATATGTGTGAATTTATCTATGCTCGAGCACTTAAGTACTTTCGCATGCATTTATACGTGTATCAATGGCCTTATAGTGAGTGTATGCTGGCGGTTCATTAGTATATAGCAGTCAAAATAAAAGAAAAACATTGAAAATGACATGTGAAGTTGCGGAAAAGCATTTAAATGAAATAAAGGCTTTGAAAAAAAAAATATTTTTAATGCAATGAAAAAAATATTTATCACGCCCTCAGCTAGTTTTTTGTACAATATTATAGAAAATGGAATAAGAAATGCGTTTTCCAGCAAGTCAATAGATTTTTAAAGCACTAAAATACCAAATGACATTGAAATAATGATCTAATGAAGAACACATGTCTGTATAAAATATTGTTTTTTTTTTTTTGTTTGTGTGTGAAAATCTCCTATTCTTAGCAAAAATTTCTTATAGAATTACCTTCTCTTGTTTACAGATATACAGATATTCGAAATCTGATGAAGCCACTGCATTTTCTGCCTGACATCTCCATTTATCGAACTCCTAACCCATACAATTCGACAATAATTCCATGCCACACCTCATTGCGCAGGCAATTGACCGCAAATTAGCTGACTACCAATATATTTTACACATTTTCCCACTAATGCTTATAAATAATAATACAAATTGCCTGTGCGTCAATGAAAAATAGCACCACCAGCACCAATTGGAAGTAATTACCGCAAGAGTGACGCACTTAAAAAACGTGTAATGCGTCTTCGATGTCAATGCCACCTGCCCGAAATGCATAATTAGTAGCAGTGACAGGATATCAAGGTGTTGGACTGCTTTTAAATTAGTTATAAATTATGCCAAGGGGAAATATTATGCGCTTCGTCAGTTAAGACATTTCGGAAATGTCTTATTTTCGAGTTTTCACCAGCGTTTCGAGTAACCACGAAAGCCTTACGACTGCAAATTATGAATTTTATGTAAAATTGAAGATAAGCTCTAGTTGTTGTAGTGCTAGAAGCGCACTCACAACCATTGCTCCGATAGTTACTCTAAACACGCGATTCAAAAGCTGCACACGAAGCTGCGGTTTTTGTTTAAAGTGCTGTAATATATTTGTTTAAATTTGGAAATGTCCAAAAAAAAAAAAAACTATTTTCATGAGTTTAAACTTCAAAATTTCAATTTATTTTTCTTCTTTCTTTTCCTCAATTAACAGTGAACCTTTGAAATATTAATTTATTAGACATGCTGATATACCAATATTTACCTAAATATCTTCAAATGCAGTCAAGACTTCGTTTATAAATGACATTTTTATTGTGGCAGCACTGAAACATATACAGTGCCTCCTGAATTTAAACATAAAATTCAATTTTTTGGGTATAAAAGAAAAATGTCATTTAATTCGCCCATAATTGCATATGATAAGTGGAAAAGCGAGCATAACTTAAGCTAGTGAACGTCGAAGTGGCGAATCGAAAACGGTTTAGGCAAAACTTGTACGTTAAAATTGCTAAGAAAGGAGATTTGTAGACTTCGACACTTCAAATTTTGTGTGTTGAAACTTTTTAGAGAGAAGACCCGTAGAATTGGTATTAAGCGAACTAGTGACTGGCGAATCGAAGACGGTTTATGCAAAATATGCTGATTTATAGACTTAACTATTCGAAAGTTATCAGCTGAAATGCTTAAGAGAAACGATTTCTAGACTTTGTGATAAGATAGCAAATCTTAAGTAAAACACATATTTTCTTCAAATATTGATATACTCGTAAAGCTGCAAACTGTTGAATCGAAGACGATTTATGCAGCAATTGTTAGTCTCATTTACTTACAGAGTAGGTTTTTAGACTTCGGTCAGCTCATGAAACACGCACAATTTTTTGAGTGACTTTAACAAATCAATTTACAGCTCCGACGCTTATCGCGAGTAAATAGCAACAAACACAGTTTTGTTGATTTCCTATTTATAATACAAACATTGAGGTAGTGACAGACAACAAACCGACTTTTTGGAGCTTGTGTGTTTGTTACTAAGATTTGTATTGTTGTTGTTGACAAACTCAAAAGTAAAAAAGCGGTGATAAAAGTATATAAATTTTTGGGGGTGAAGGTGAGAATAAACATGCTACAATAATTACTAATATAGCGGCACTGAAATGCATACATACATTTGTATATACTTAGAGAAATATATAACTAGCATTTACTTTATATATTTAGCGCTCACTGCAGAAGACTGTCATACCATAAATCTCATTTTATGACTTGAAAGCAGTCAATATTATCACACTCTATTTGCTGAGCGCCAAAGACGCGCTTACCAAGGGCGCTAGGCACACATAGCCGCATTATGTATGTTTTATTTGAAATTTATTTCATTAAATTTTGATGAAGTGTGCTAAAGGATGCCATAAAAGTGTCTTATTACTCAAAACAAGATTCAAGCAAGAAAAAACACGCAAGCAAGCGCGAAAGCGAGTGGAAAACAATACATAAAAACTCCAAAAAAAAAATTGCTGCAGATAAAAATTTATGTTAGCGCTTTGTAGGTGCTTATTGAGATTTTGTTGTTACAATTTTTTTATTATTGTTTGTTGTTGCTGCCGTGTGGCGTGATAAGCCACCGCTGCGCTCCTCAGCAGCTACTGTCCGAAAATTTAATGATGGCGATGATAAAAATCGCTTGATTGCTAAGAAATCGAAATCAATATTTTTGCCGTTATTCCGCTGTCGATGGTTAACTGTGACGGTTCGTCAAGCAAAGCAAATCTTATCAAATTGTGCCGACGCCGTAGCCATAAATATCCAATAAATTTTCGAATTTTATAATTACGAATTTATAAATATTTATTAATGCATTTTTTATTTCCATTTCTCAACAGCACAAATCAATCAAGCAACAGTTAATGACAAGCAAAGCTAATAAATAATAGCAAAAACGAAAAAGTAAATAAAAACAAGAAACTAATAAAATATAAAACTGTGAAAAACCAAGCAAATAAATTGATTTACATACATAAGTGCGAAATATATTAACAAAAAGCCAACAACAAAAACAAAATGTGTACTTTTTCGTCAGACTGTGCAGTGAAAAGTATTGAAATAAATCAGAAATATTAAAATTGGCGAGAAATTGCGCGTGGTCGTCTTTAATTGGTAGCAAATAAGCCAACACCCACAAGCAAAAATAAAAACACATAAAACAAACAAAGAAATTATAAAAGCATAAAAAAACAATTAATAGGAAATTTTTTTTCGCCCTCGTTGTTCACAAAAAACATTCAAAATTATTCTCGAAATGGATATGACTTCAACAGCGGAAGCTGCCGCCCGCAGCTGGTATGACAATCCGCGTTTGGGCAGCTCTCCGCAAGCGAATGGCCTGGGCGGCGCCGGCGCCGGCTTGGGACATCACGCCCTCACAGCCGCTGGTAGCACAGCGATGGGCGGTGGCGCTGGCCTAGGCGGCGGCGGCGGCGGTGGTGGCGGTGGCGGTCTCGGCGGCCTGGACACCACCGATATGAGCGCCTTCTACGCGCTGGAAAGCAACGGCCATCACAGACGCTACTATCCGAGCTATCATCAGCACAGTAAGTGGAATTTGTTTAATAATATATGATATACTATATTAACGTGAACCCTCTATTCAATTAATGGGAGTTCAAAAACTTTTTACATTAAAAAAAATAAGAATGGAAAAAATTCAATTTCCTGTACAATTGAACAACATTTCGTAAGGAAATAGTTTTTGATCTCAACTCTGTAAACAAAAAAATACAAATTTTTGTCGAATTTTAATGTTTTTGTTTTGTGGAAGTCCAAAAAATTAAACATAAATTAATTTTAATTTTTTATTGAATTTTTTTCGCAGTTTTGTCCAAATTTCCTTAAACTTAAACTTAAAAAAAAAAAAAACAAATCATTAATTAATTACTTTAGTATTCTACAAATAAGAAAATATTTAACAATATGTGAAAAGTACACTCTATTGAATTATTTCTACTTTTTTGTTGATTTATCATATGTTTTTTTATTTGTGGAAGATTAAAACAAATAATTAACGCGATTAAAGTTTAATTTTTTTATAAACTAAATTTCTTAAAATCATTATTAGCTAATTAATATTTTTTTGTAAAAATATCTAAAAATATT